CCCTCCTACGGTAAAACAATTAAAAGCTCAAGCAAAACAGCTTGGATTCACGGGTTATTCAAACCTGGGGAGAGCCGGGTTAATCGCATTGTTATCACATGCCCCCGTAGCAAAACCTCCCACTGTAAAACAATTGAAAACCGAGGCACGTGATTTGGGGTTAGGGGGATATTCCCGTATGAGGAAACCACAGCTTGTAGAACTATTACGACAGAATAGAGCTGTCGACCTACAGTTCGTACCCACTGAGCGTGCTGTAGGCAACTATTTGAGAGGCTGGCGCATGCACGTTGATAGGAACATAGATATTACAGATATTAAGCCACTGATAGCTGATAAGGTCAACCAGGAACTAGCCAGTCTAGGAAGTATCAAGTTCCAGATCACAGTGAAAATGTCGCTCGATAAGAACGTAGGAGGCGGGGTCACTGAGTACGTTCAGCCTTACTTCCGAGGTAAACAAGAGGTTGCCACACATATAGAGACCATTGACGCATCAATCGATACTAGTTTTCAGCAGATACGGGAATACCTAGAACGCTACACACACTTGGGGTCTGGGTGGGCTGTAGATAAAATCGATAATGTCTATCTAGACATAGCTAACTACGTGCCGTTCAGAGGCGGGTCATACCTAGACTTGCCCCCCTACTATAGGAAAAAACAGGCTATGGTAAACGTTAAGAATAGAGAGACGATTGCCTGAGGGTGGCTATCAGGTCAGCCTTGTTTCCAGCTGACACTCATTCAGACAGGCTTTCTAGCTATCCCCAAGATGATGGGCTCAACTGGGATGGTATAGATGAACCAACCCCCATATCCCAGATCACTAAAGTAGAAAAACAGAATAATCTAGCTATAAATGTCTTTGGGCACGAAGGCGGCACAACAATAGTGCACAGGGTTAGCCCAGTGTTGGGGAAACCCCAACTGGTGGAGGGACAGGGGAAACCCCTGCGGCGTTATCAATATATTCATGATCCAACGAGGTGAAAAGTATCACTACACGTGGATAAAACATCTCAGCCGGTTGTTGCACGACCAGTCGAAACACGATGGGAAAAAACACTTTTGTGTGCGATGCCTACACGGTTTCAGCCGAGCTGATTTATTAGAATCCCACCGGGAGGATTGCCAAGGTGTGGGGCAGACGGCCATACGGGTCGACATGCCTGAGGAAGGTGACAATATCCTAAAATTCGACAACCACAAGAACCAAATGTCTGTGCCTTATATCATATACGCCGACTTTGAAGCCTTGGTCAAACCAGTTGAGGCTGCCGCTGTTGGGGATACCCCAACCACACTCAAAACACAAGAGCATGAAGCCTGCGGGTTTGGATACATTGTCGTCCGTTGTGACGGGGAAACGAAAGCTCCTGTAGTGTATAGGGGCCCTGACGCGGCTGAAAGGTTTCTAAAGTGTTTGCAGGAGGAAGAAAAAATTATTAGGAATGCACTGTATAGAGTCGCTCCAATGCGTATGACCCGAGCCGACAGGCTAGCTCACGCCTGTAGCACTAACTGTCACGTGTGTGACTCACCACTGAATGGTGATTCGGTGAGAGATCACTGCCACGTAACCGGTAAGTATAGAGGGCTCACAGCAGCGTGTAACCTCAAGCTTAGAATCAACCCTAAGACAATAAACATCCCCGTGGTCTTTCACAACTTGAGAGGGTACGACTCTCACTTAATCATGCAGGCCATCGCGAAAATCGATGGTAATATAACGTGCATTCCCAACAACATGGAGAGATACATCTCCTTCAGCTTAAACGGTCTTAGGTTCATAGATTCAGTACAATTTCTCTTGTCTTCATTAGACAGTCTGGTCAAGGCCAACGATACCTTCCCTATCACCGACCGATACACAGACGCCGAGACTAGACCCCTGCTTATGAGGAAGGTGTGTACCCCTATGAGTACATGGATAGTTGGGCCAAGTTCGCCCGAGACCAGACTACCCCCATCAGAGAATTTTACAGCAATCTGACAGACTCGGAAATATCCCAAGACGATTACTCGCACGCGATTAACGTATGGAATAAACTGGGTTGTAAGAACCTGGGGATTATCACGACCTGTACTTTGAGGACGGATGTACTGCTGTTAGCCGACGTGTTTGAGACGTTTAGGCGGACATGTTTCAAGCAGTATAAACTCGACCCCGCATGGTATTACACCAGCCCAGGTCTGTCGTGGGATGCCTTGCTTAAAAAGACCGGAGTTAAGTTGGAATTGCTTACAGATTATGACATGCACCTATTCATTGAGAAAGGCTTGCGAGGTGGGATCTCCATGGCAACCAAGCGATACGCCGAAAAGCAAATAATCAATACGTTAAGGGCTACGACCCTAGCAAGCCAACCAATCACATTCTCTACCTCGACGCCAACAACCTGTACGGTTGGGCCATGAGCCAGTATCTACCCACAGGGGGATTCGAATGGGCGTCACATGAGGTCGATGTTATGAGCATCGCACCGGATTCGAACAAAGGTTATATCCTCGAGGTTGACTTGGAATACCCCAAGGAATTACACGCATCACACAACAGCTACCCCCTGGCCCCCGAACGTATGAGGGTTAACCCAGACTGGATGTCTGAGTACCAACATAACTTATTAGGTGGGCGTGTGACAGACGTTGAAAAACTCGTGCCTAACTTAATGAATAAGACCAAGTACATCGTTCACTATCGCAACCTACAGCTGTACCTGTCGTTGGGTATGAGGCTGACCAAAATACACAGGGTGCTTGTGTTCAACCAGAGCCCCTGGATGGAGCCTTACATCAGAATGAACACAGACCTCCGAAAGCTGGCCACCAGTGACTTTGAGAAAAACCTCTATAAGCTCATGAACAACTCTGTGTTTGGTAAGACTATGGAGAACCTGAGGAAACGCGTGACCGTGAAGCTGGTTCGGTCGAATGAGGAAGACAAGCTCAGAAGACTGATAGCCAGTCCGGCATTCAACCGTAGCAAAATATTCACCGATGACCTAGTTGCCCTACACATGAAGAAAAGCCACATAAAATTCAACCGGCCTGTTTACGTGGGGATGAGCATCCTCGATTTATCCAAACACCTGATGTACGACTTTTACTACAACGAGCTCAAGAAACAGTACGGCGACAGGTGTGAAGTGCTGTACACTGACACAGATTCCCTGCTGATGGAGATTCGAACCGAGGACGTGTACGTTGACATGAAAAAACACCTCGATTTGCCACGACACCAGCTGACTACCCTAAGGACCATGCCATACACACAGTGCGGTAAATAAAACGTCCTAGGTAAGATGAAGGACGAGTGTGCTGGCACGCCCATAGCCGAGTACATAGGGTTGAGGCCTAAGATGTACTCCATACTGAAGGCCGACAATGGTGAAATCCGGAAGGCTAAGGGTGTTAAGAAATATGTGGTGAAACAACACATCAAACACGCCAGATTCAAGGAAGCCCTGTTCAAGACCCGTACCTTTAGGCATAAAATGAACACACTTAGAAGTGATGGGCATAAGATATACGGACTGACTATAAACAAGACGTCCCTGTCGCCTATGGACACTAAACGTTGGATAGCTATTGATGGGATAAACATCGCACGCTGGCGTATGGACATGAACATGTCAATGGAACCAGAGAAAGTTTGAGGCTATTTACTATAGCCCGCGTGGGTACTGGAAAGGAGCTAGCGCTGTAGATAAGCTGGCTAAAATGGCGCGAGTACCCCCGGAGGAAGCCAAAGCGTGGCTTGAAAAACAAGCCCTGTGGCAGATCTATTTGCCGGCACCACGCCACGTTGCCTAGAAGGAGGTTCGGTATTAACATACCTAATAGCGTTCACCAGGCAGACCTACTGTTCCTACCCCACGACAAGAGGTACAAGTATGCCTTAACCGTGAGTGGACGTAGCCAGTCGCTACAAGGAAGCCGAACCCTTGACCGCAAAAGATTCGGCCCAGGTAGCCAGAGAGGATTCGACGCGATATACAAACGCAGTCCAGGCTGACTTGGCCAACAGAGCTGCAAGTTGACCCCGGACGGAATTCATGGGTGCCGTGTCACAAGTGCTAGCCAAACACGATACAAAGGTCAGGCGGGCACGCCGGAGCCCATCGCAGCCAAGCCATAGTTGAGAGATTTAATAGGACTTTGGCTGAGCGCTTATTCGGGCATCAGTATGCTAGGGAGATGGCAACCCCGGGAAAACGATCGACTGAATGGGTCGCGAGGTTACCCAAGGTGGTGTCGGCAATCAACCATGAAGTCACCCGGCTCACTGATAAGAAACCGGCAGACGCTATCAAACTAAAATCAATAGTTGCAGAGCCGGCTGCTCCATTGCGTGGGAAGGAGAAACAGATACCAGATAGGGCCCTAGTGAGGTATCTATACCAGCCGGGGGAACACGAGGGTGATAGCCGTAAGCGAGCCACCGATCCTATATGGTCAGTCAAAACTTACAACATAGATAAAGTGGACATCAAAGCAGACGAGCCTAACTTATACTACTTGAGGGATGGGCCAGGTAGGGGGTTTGTAAGAGCGGAATTATTGATCGTCCCGTACGGTACAGTGTTACCTCCTGTCAACACGGCATAGCCATGTCTCTGGTAGTTAAGCGGCGGTGCGTTCGTATCCCGCTAGCGTCTCAAACTTTTTCATAGTAGGGGAAATGGTAGCAAGAGCTAAGGGTCCGACAAAAGCCTTATTTGGTAAATAAGGCTTTGCAGAGGCTTTTGTTGGAACTGGTCCCGGACTGTCTTTCTCTCTACTACTTCAAAAGCCAGTCTTTGAAATGCACAGTGGTGGATATACCGTGAAGATGCAAGTTGTGGTCAGGCTCACTGACTTGGTTGACACATGTCACCGTATCCCCAGTGAGCAGATCGATACTCATGAGATTGATCGCTGGACTAGATTCGATTATTTACAGACCACTCCCATATATCTGGAATACTGCTGAACAACAAACTAATCTAACTACTTACACTTGTGTTCCCTTGAGCCGTGATGTGCTCAACTCCATGTACGATGTCTAAACCCTGGTATTTATCTACAATACTCCATGACACCGTTTCCAAGCCACTGTGCTCATCGTATGCAATCCACTCCATTCTGAAATTGTATTACACGGTTTGACAATTCATCACATCAGACCGTGGTCTCACACATTTTACCCTGATCAAGGAGGTTTTACTGAGTTAAGCATTATTTAGCTATTTAAAGTTTAACGAAGGGCAAAATACATATAAGGTCATGTCACCGATATATGGTATGACCAGAAATTATTGCGAATTCTAGGAATATGTTTAATTGGATTTCTAGTATAAACAACCTTGACCAGCTATCAAGTGTTTGGTTTCATTCAAGAGGGACAAATCCGTTAATCCTTTTTCATTAGTTTGTGAACAGTTATCCCCCTTTGTTTACTTGCTAGCAGACGACATTTTCAGTGATCCTCAGTATGGATGATTTAGAGAAGAGGAAATTCATTTTAGAGTATTATAACACGGACATCAGATCAGCTAAAGTGATTTCAAGTAGAACAGGCATCCCTTTGTCCACTGTTTATCGTGTTTTGGAAAAGATTGCAAATGGATATGGCATTGAGCACCAGGGAGGCGCAGGTAAGCCCAGAAAATTGACTGTCGGGGACAGGAGGCTGCTTGGTATTCGTGTCTCTAACAACAAACGAAGGAATTTAGAAAACGTAAGGCTGGATATGATTGATAGAGGAACTGTGGCTGTCTGAAAGGAGACAATTAGAACTGAGCTGCATGCAATGGGTTGGCAGAAAAGTCGAGGAATTCCATCACCGATCATGAAACCTGAACAAAAGGAGCGAAGGTTGAACTGGTGCTTACAACGTAGACATTTTAACCGGGCCAATGTGATTTTCTCAGATGAAAGTTCTGTGTGACTGGTTCCTAATACACTGAAATTCTGGACCAAACAATCTGAATGTTTTTTTGTATCAGCGCCCAATGTACAGTCCGAAATTTAACGTGTGGCGTGGCATATTTGTGTTAGGGGCAACGCCCCTCTGTGAAATTGAAGAGAATATGAACAGGAAGCGGTACACGGGTATTCTCGAGGGACATTTACTTCCATCTGCTAACGTGTTCTATGGAAATGTTTGGATTTTCAAGCAGGACAACCACCCAAAACATCGTTCAAAGCATTCACAGACCTGGTTTCGGACCCAAAATATGACATTAGTAGATTGGCCAAGCTATAGGCCTGACCTAAATCCAATAGAAAATGTTTAGGGACTTATGAAGGAAAGTGTCAATAAGAAAAAACTGACAAATATTGCTGAAATGAAAGAAGAGGTGGTCCGATATTGGGACAGCATGGGCCACGACTTTCTAACTTCTTTGATCAGTAGTATGCCCCGCCACATTGAAGCCTGCATCGCTGCCAATAGTAACTTGGCAAAAGACTAACTGTTCACCTGTCTTTGAATCTGGAGTTATGTTCTGCTTATATCCACATTTAATACGTGAGTAGTGAGTGAAAAAAATATAAAAAATTACAATCTTTAAATTCTCAATAATTTCTGGCTGTACTGTAATGGTTCAAATGCTTCTTAAAATGGAATGTAAAATAATATAATATGATATAATAGCATTAGAATTACGCAAATTATAATAATTATTTCATGAACTATATAAGATAATAAACGACTTGCGTCATTTCGGAAAATTCCTCTGCTCCATGTACACTGATGTTCAGTCTGTCTCCCCTGGTGAGCCAAAGGTTCTCTATGACTGGAGGGGATGTGTCGATGTTGACTGTCACATGTTCTTCCAGGAATTCTCGTCTAATGTCATAGGCTCGCACCCAGAAGCGTACAGTGTCCCCGTCCACTAGTGAGGGTGTTATGGTCTGTGACTGACTCAGATCTTGACTGGTGAACAGGTTATCAGCTGGTGGATTGGTGATAGACGACCCTCCTTGGTGATCGACATTGTATGACGACAATATTCGTGTGACACCTGTTGAATATAATGCTGCATGTGTTATTTTGCAATTAGATGTATAATGAGTTAATAGGAAAAACGTCACCTTTGACACAATACTGAAAGTCACACTGCGCCATGGAAACCTTTAGATAAGATGTTTGTACAACACCGTGGCTGTGTGAGAAATATTTCAAGAGAAACAATCAGTTTTTTGTTAGCAAGATTCTGAGAAGTGCATACCCTGGACATTGTTGATGGCAGCCACACTTCTGTCACCCTCCCTATCGTCATAGTCCGAGCTGATGTCACCAACAGAAGCCACACCGTGGAGCCACTTGTTGTTGTGGTGGACTGTGTTGATGTATCTGATGGTCCAGTCTACTGTCACTGATGATGACGTTGTTTGCCACTCTGATGTTGCTGATGATGTTGTTGTCACACGGAGAGATGTATTTGCTTGTGTTGTTACAGATGAAGTACCATCATATATCAGGATTCTTCTTGTACTTCTGTGATTGCCTCCCTTGTCATAGGCAGTTAGGACGACAGAATACACGCCCACCTCAGTCAGTGTGTAGCTGTTGGTCGTCTGAAATGTAAGTTTTAACTGAATTGATTCCGTTGATCTGAAACAATTCAAATGCCAAAAATACATTTACCATTTCACATGTATCACATAGCACACCCACACAGACAACACACCTTTGGATTGTGCTATTATGCAAATTCCGATAATCTTTAAGGGCTTGAAATAACAGTATCACAGCCTAACAGTATAACAATAACTCCCTCACCGTGGAGCTGGTCATCATTGTAGAGTCAACAGGACGTTTATTCCTGAGTACATCCCCAGCAGCGTAGAGTTCATACACTTCCCTCACAAAGTGGTCGACTCCTGCATCAGTATCTGACCAGCCACTCCAGCGGAGATTCACTGTGGGCTGAAAGAAGTTATGGACTCATTCTCCCTGTAAACCATCAACATCGGGTGTGAAATATTACTGTGGTCATATACTTACAGTCTTGATAACATCGGGAACAGTCAGCATGCTGCCAACACAGGCAGTGGTACCAGTACAGTGATAGGGATCCACCAGGTCTATGGACACAGTAAAGGTGTGGGTCTGTGTGGCACCGTTGTAGTGGTAGGTCGCTAGTGTGTTACTCTCCTTGTTCCGGACCTCCACATACCCTCCATTACTTGTTGAATAAGCGAACCTGATACTGAAAATGCATTTACTCAGTCGTTAGTCAAAATGCCCTATTTATTCAAAATGATTAAAGATAGGCCATAAATGCATAATATTTTACAATATTGATATTATGTTCTTCATATAAAAGTATATACATAGTTATGAGTTTACTAATGGAACATTTATCAGAAATATTACTTCCTAATAACTTTTATATGAAGAACATAATATCAAAGTTGACAAAAACTATGCATTTATAGCATATAATTAATCATTTTACATAAAGTTGACCAAATTAAAATCAATGACCAAATTTGCTGGGTCATTTTGTAGCTGGGGCAGTTCGACTGGTACCCATGAGATATATATTTTCAAAATCAGTAAGAGATTTAACATGAGCTTGAAAATGTTTCGCTATACCGTTCTTTTCGGTTTGGACCCCTAACCCGAAACATTGCCGAATACAACCGCAATTCATGAAGTACTTGTTTCTTTTCATTTCATTTTCCATTTTGCCAATTACGCACGTCGGCATCGGACTCGCTGTTTGTCAGTAGTGCATGTGTGCCGTGAAAGCTGTTCTGTATTCTCATTGGCTGACAAGATGCCATTCTAAGGCAATGTCCGAGTACCATAACTATTTCCATAACCAAAACTAGGGAAGCAAACATTGTCATGACTAGTATTTTATATTTCACCTGGAATAACGTATCTGCGTCGCGTATATTATCTCTGATCGACAAGGCTGGGATCTTGGATGGAGACTTTATACGTTATTAATGAGAATAAGGATCCTAGTTTTTTCAACAAAATAATTCCAGTGTAATTTTTGTTGCAGAAAATTTCTATTTTCCCCCGTCTGAAGCATACTTATTTTTTTAAAAATCCCAGACACCCTACAATATGACAAAAAAGGAACTGCAATCACATTTCAAAAACATATTTTCTTAAAGGTGGACCTGCTAGTTGGAACTGTATCACATTTTGCTCACAAATAGTATTCTTGGTAAATGATATGGTCTATTTTTACAATTATTTTGACAGCAAGATGTGTCACTGTTTCGTTTAATTCTTCTGCTCATCTTCCCTGGAAGATTGTCTTGCAAGATGTAAAATCGGATCGTATTGGATACGGTCTAACATCCATTTCAGAAATGACATCAGGAACATCTTTTACTGCTTCAGAATCCATTGACTCTGTTATGTTGTGAGGTAAAATCAAAGAGGCACATATGACGCCATGTCACGTGATACCCCCCTCTGCTCATTAACTGTCGGGTGTTTCCGTAATAGGAGGAAATACGAATACGTTTTTGTGTGTTTTTCTTGCAATTTTACAACCTTTTTGTTCAATTTTAATCACGGAAGATGACTTTTAGAATGCCTTTTCCACGATCAAAAGTTTTGTTTTCGTTCGTATTCTCCTTTAAGCATTTCCTGTCCTACATTGTTGGCATAACATGTGTTTGTTGTCTGTAAAAAGCAAAGCTGTGATACTGTCGTGCGGCTGCTGCACACAAACAAGCCAAGCAATCAAATGATAGACCCAAACTCTTCTAATTTATTTGAAACTCAAAACGATATGTTAATTTTTTAATGACTTCTGCTGCTTATCTGTAAAGAAATAAGACATTTTAGAAATATTTACATTCAGTAAATCAGCCTGTGATGATTCAAATTATCAACTCTATCCTGACATGTACACGTGGTTGACATGTACACTGAAATATGCCAAGATAACTATCTAGATGCCTTACAAACAACGCGTGTTTACGTGTTGACAAGAGTACACGCAGTAAACACCTCACTAATCACCGGGTTTTCATTGTCAGTATTACTACATTAGTGTAGGGGGGGTTCATGGCAATGCAATGTTATGGCTGAATGAACACGGCACGCCTCACTCGGAGGCTCTGACAAATTATTTTAAAAAAAACAGGATTGACGTGGACGCTCTTTAATTTGAGCACATATAAGGTATAAATGAATATTTTCCATAGTAAAACACATTTCTGTCAATCTAGTTTTTAAACAGCTTTACAAAAAACTATCAACATTAACAATTGGAAATTCCCAAAGATGCCCAAAACCAAGTTCATACAGTTTAACACTACGTAACCATGATGTATAACCATTATTTAGACCATTTAAACATAAACCATAAACGGCCCGCTGTATACAGTTTTCACTGCGTAAATACTTAAACCAATAACGTAACACACGGATATGCCTATTTATATATGAAGGGTACCTCACTAGTTCGCCGTATACATCATCTGTAGATGATTTGGCATTGTTCTGCAATAAACGCCTGCAAAATTTTTAGTGAAATATTTCAAATTCAGAACATTTCACAGCCATGCATCATAGTAGAGGTAACAAAAGTGTCGAATATTTCACACAAGGTTTTCGATATTTTCCTGTAGTGCTACTTCAATATGTTCCAGATATAGGGTTAAAAAAATCGGTGACATTACTTCCTCTTCTTTAATACCCAGGGAGCATAGAAAGAAGCCAGATAACTCACCATTGTGTTTAACACATCATTTCACAGTGTCATACATAGACACGATAATTTTCCATAGCCTACATCTGATGCCCACCAGATTTAACTGGATTGTCACGATTAACAGAGTTAAACGCTTTGGCTTGATCAACAAAGCAATAATATAATGTCTTGGGTGTACATAGAAGGTTTTGTAGTATAAACACAGTTTCCACAGTAGAGTAACCAGCTTTGAAAGCAAACTGAGCATCAGAGATGATGTTGTATTTTTCACACCATGAAACAAGTCTCACTATTAATACGGAGGTAAAGAGTTATGAAAAACAGCTGTTAATGGTGATTCCCCATGTAATTGCCTTCTTCTTAAAGTTCTAAACAAGCGAAGAAGATAAACAGTCTACAATGTTTTGAAAAGAAATCTTTCTACTCCCGACATGGATTATGCCTCCCGGCACCGTATCTTTACTTTTGGCGGTACTCCCCTACTCCCTTGGAAATTAGCTCTACTGGGAAATCCGAAATATGCATTTTAGCCTTCCCGTCACGAATATGGAATAGCGGTTCTATTACTGGTTCTTTTTAAGCGTTATTTTGTCAAACTCCGGCTCCTGGCGGAGTGAAAAAAAGGTGTGAATGAAGGCGGACCTCTTTTAGAGATAAGATGTTAGAAGTATAACGAAAATGAACGTGCAAGAGAAAATGAGATACCAGAGTTTATCATGGGATTGGTATGGAATAGTTTATAGGTTCCTGAGAGCTAAGCGTACTGAGAAAATATCGGTCATAGCAGGAAGAGAGATACACATTCTGGGTTGGTGCAAGTGGTCAGGAGAAAGATCCAGTAGAGTCGTGCTTAAAGACGGGGTCGTTGTTTGGGCCAACCAGAGATTTGAGCTTGCGTTAAAAGAGAAGTCTCACTATGCGGAATCCTTCGTGAACGGGAACGAAAAAATAGCTAGATAACGTGAGACATGGGCAGGTTCGACACTGGGTTGAGAGTTCGCGTAGAACCAGCTCGAACTTTCCCGGAAGACGGAAAGACCGTAACTTGGCATACGGTTTTATCGTACACCATAAAACCATTGAATTATTTTATGGATTTACATTGATATCGAGGAAACAGTTCAGCGTCAGTCTCCTATCATCTCTTTGGTTTTGGAAAGGAACGCTTGCCGGGCCTGTTACCTGCCCTGTTCTATGAGCTTTTTTTCTCGTCTTTGCCGATGTCGCTTGTCTTGTAGACCTTGGTTTGAAGCTCTTGTTTCATCCTGTGGTACTTAGCGAGTTCTGCCAAGATCAGACAGAACTCTTCCTCCGTGATCTTGCTGTCGGCGAGATCATTGAACATGTTCAACTTGGCTTCGGTTAGCCCGGCTGCTATATCCAAACCGAGGACGATGGCCGTGACCAAGATAGTCGACAATAGAGCGACACGGTCGCCCTGAGTCCCATGTTGACGGTTAGGAGCACTGAATCCATGCCGTTGATGGCATTCACGGCTCTGTGGTGCCTTTTGTGCAATGCGCCACGTGCATCTCGTTCTTGTTTCAGTTTGCGTTTGATCTTGCTTATTCGTTATTATGTTTTACAGATTAAAGATGAAAATGCAGCAGGGAGGGTTCAGGTGATCATGGCATAGTCAAGTTGGTAAGGCTCATCATCAGCGCAGGGCCCTCTCCCCCTCTACACGCAGCCAAGAAAGCGAATGGGACTTCTCCCAGGAAACACTGCCTAGTCGAACCCACCAAGAACTTTCCGGAGAATATGAAGGCTCCCCAACACTGCAGCCTTCTGCATTACCCAGAGTGTCAGAAGGACTGTGCTCCCGGCGGAGAACCCGGGCAGAACCTGATCTGCGCCAGGAGATCAGGAGGTACCAAACCAAGGGCACCGAGAACAATGGGGAGCCTCACGACAGTGTATTTGGGATGCAAGCGGGACATTTCAAAGGCAAGGTCCCCATATTTATAATGTTTCCCATGAATCTTGCAGAACACGTTGCTGTCAAAAAGGGACAGAAAATTCAATGATATAAATACATTCATTGGCTTTATCAAAAATGTCAAGATAAGGTTTGTTGGCAGGAATTCTTCTGAGGCTGTATATAGGCCTATTCCACAAAGGTTTGAAAGCATCATTTTCCATAACGCCCTGGACATGTTCAGGGTCGTACCATGGATGGACCTCGGAATCAAAGCCACAAGCATGGCGAAGATGATAGTAAAAGCAGCAAACCATGCCATCATGTCGTTTAAGATATGATGTTTGTGCCAAGTAAGGGCATCCACTGACAAGGTGTTGGACAGTCTCTGTTAATTCATTACACAGTTGGCATTTCATGTACATAGTTTTTTTAAGAATCTTTTTGGGGCGATTACGAGTGGGAAGTGACTGGTCCTGAGCAGCAAAAAAGAAGCCCTCAGTTTCACATTTAAGACCAGCTGACTTCATCCAGGCAAAGGATTCGGTGCGATTGCTATTCTGTTCCACACACTGCATGTACACACGATGCAATGGTTTCTCAG